AAGAAAGAAAGAAAGAAAGAAAGAAAGAAAGAAAGAAAGAAAGAAAGAAAGATCTCACCTGCAATCGCAGCACTTGGGAGGCAGAGGCAGGCAGACCAGTCTCTGAGTTTGAGGCCAGCCTGGTCTACAGAGTGAGTTCCAGGAGAGCAGGGCTGTTGCCGCTAGAAAAAAATAAGTTTGAATCTCCCCATTAAAATGTAAATACTGACACAAATGTAAGCACACGTTTCAGTTAAAATAAATAAGTCCTGGATATGCTTTGAATTGTTGGAAAGTTATTAATGTAATTTCAAACTCACTTAAAGAGCTTGGTTGATAAATTTGCTCACAAAGACTTGTTAAAATACAAGGCCTGGAGACACAGTTTGGTGGTTAAGAGCACTAGCTACTCTTCCAGAGAACCTGGATTTGATTCACAGCATTCATACAGCAGATCATAGCAACCAATGTAACTCCAGTCGTAGAAGATCTAACACCCTCTTCTGACCGCTGCAGTAACTGCCTCCATGGCACACACAGACTTATAAACAGGCAAAACACCAACACAAAAGTTATTTGTATTCTACTGTTTCAGCCTGCAAAAACAATGACCTTTCTTCCAGAGCTGTGAGCCTCAAGGTCCCCAGTAAGAGAGCCCTGGCACCCTCAGCCTGTGCTCCAGAGGCTCTTGTGCTCTCCTGGATCCCGCACTGCCTGCCCTGTCCTTCCTTCTGTCCCCAGATCATTGGGCTACCAGGCGGCCCTGTTTAGGTGCTGAGGAGTTCCATCTGGATGGGTGAGTATGTGCTATCCAGGGACAATTGTCCTGGAAGAAAGCACAAAACCCCTCCCCCAGCTCCTTCTGCAGGGCTGTCTTTCTTACCACGATCCAGCACCCCACCCCCAACCCTGCCCTGTTGTATGCTAGGACCAGTGCTCAACAACAGTTTTAAGCTCCTACACTAAGGCTACCCACCCAGAGCGGTGAGCCTCAAGGTCCCCAGTAAGAGAGCCCGGCACCCTCAGCCTGGGCTCCAGGGGCTCCTGTGCTCTCCTGGATCCTGCACTGCCTGCCCCGTCCTTCCTTCTGTCCCTGGATCACTGGGCTACCAGGAGGCCCTGTTTAGGTGCTGAAGAGTTCCATCTGGACGGGTGAGTGTGTGCTATCCAGGGGCGATTGTCCTGGAAGAGAGCACAAACCCCCCTCCCTCAGCTACTTCTGCAGGGCTGTCTTTCTTTCACACACCCCCTCCTCCCAAAGCCTGCATTTTCTGCAAGGTCCTTTGCTCAGGAACAGTTTTCTGCTCCTACACTAAGGCTTCCAACCCAGAGCGGTGAGTGCCTGCCTACTGTGCAGGCCTCAAGGACCCCTGAAAGGGAGCATGCACACCTTCAACTTGTGAGGCAGGGTGTCCTGTGTTCTACTCGTCCCTGCCCTGCCCCCCAAGTTCCTCCTTTTTGTCCGCGGGTCATTGGACTACCAGTCGTCCATGTTTGGGTGCTGAGGACTTCCAGCTCGACGGGAGTGTCCCTGCTTCTACACTGAAGAGATTACACCCAGAGACTCAGTCACAGCAAAGACTGGACCAAGACACCAGGCCTCTCCTGGCTCCATTTGAAGGAGGAGATGGGAAGGCGCCAATGCAAGACTTCCTCCAACAAC